TGTTTGTGTGTTTGTGTGTTTGTGTGTTACCATGCACGTTTCAGTTCACTTCCGCTAGGTGCGCTGGCTGTAGACTTACAAACACGCAACCACAGGCTAAGGGGCAACCACAGTCCTCCCCCACCTGCACGCTCGCACTAATCCGGATCCAATTAATTAATTAATAAAAAATTTCACATTGAGAGAATGCTGCCGCCTTGGCGGAGGTCTGTGCTCTCCGAGTGCTCTAGTATAATATATAACACAGTAGAGCGTAAATCACTTACTTCCATTGTAACAGCGCGTTTATACTATACAGCAAGGCGCATCGGTCACGTTTGCCTGTAGCAGTGTTCAGTAAAGCACAGGAAAGCACATCACTCACCTCCCCCTGTAGTAGTGTATATATATACAGCACATATCACTCACCTCCCATATATACACTACTACAGGGGGAGGCGAGTGATGTGTGCTGTATATATATATACACTACTACAGAGGGAGGTGAGAGATGTGTGCTGTATATACACACTACTATAGGGGGAGGTGAGAGATGTGTGCTGTATATATATATACACACTACTATAGGGGGAGGTGAGTGATATGTGCTGTATATATATACACACTGCTATAGGGGGAGGTGAGTGATATGTGCTGCATATATATATACACACTACTATAGGGGAGGTGAGTGATGTGTGCTGTATATATATACACTACTACAGGGGGAGGCGAGTGATATGTGCTGTCTATAGTAGTGTGTATATATATATACAGCACACATCTCTCACCTCCCCCTATAGCAGTGTGTATTATATATATCACACATCACTCACCTCTCCCTATAGTAGTGTGTATATATATATAGCACATATCACTCACCTCCCCCTATAGTAGTGTGTATATATACAGCACATATCACTCACCTCCCCCTATAGCAGTGTGAATATGCAGCACATATCACTCACCTCCCTCTGTAGCAGTGTGTATATATATCATGAGTAGATAATAGGGAATTCCCTATTATCTACTCCTGATATATATATATCACACATCACTCACCTCCCCCTATAGCAGTGTGTGTATATAGCACACAGCATACAACACACATCACTCACCTTCCCCTATCGCAGTGTGTATAATATACTGTATATTATACAGCACACACTAGATACAATAATGTAACCCAACAAGAGTAGGGTTACAACCAGGAGCTAATAATGACAAATGCACTGATTGTTACGGTCGCGTGGGCATGCTTATTGCTGTATATGTAGGTGTGGGCACTGCTGGTATGAGGGAGCGACAGCAAAACTTTCCCGGAATCGAGGACAAAGCTGCAATCGGGGATGACACAGGAGTGTGCCGGCATGCAAAAAGAAACGTTGCTGTGAATTTCATTACGTTTTTCCATGTATATAGTCAGAAGCACGTGGTGGTGTATTTATTTTTGGATTGACACTATTTTGACAATGGCGGGTAAATATAGGAACATTTTCACAACGGCGTTGTTAAATTTGACAACGGCGGTGCGCCGCAGTGCCTCCAATGTTGAAGAAACCCTGCTGTTACAAAATTTCGAAACGACAAGCGGCGATATTTCGAGCGCTATTTCTGTTGACCTGTGACGTACGCATTCCCAATGTGCATAGCATTCGGCTAACTTCGGCTCCTGTGCTGCCTGACATCATGCTGGCTCTGGTGACATCATGACTGACAGCAGGCATCCCATGATGCATTCGATCTTGGAGCCGAAATTAGCCGAACGCTATGCGAATTGGGAATGCGTACGTCACAGGTCAACAGAAATGGCGCTCGACATATCGCCGCTCGTCGCTTCGAAATTTTGTAACAGGCTATATTAGTTTCATACAGAGTATTGTGATACATAGTAAGTCCCAGGATAGCGGAGAAAGGTTCGTCTTTATCATAAACCCAGTATGGAAGTTCTAGTCTCGAAAAACGCCCCATAAAACCGCCCTGAGTGAATCACTCAGGGGCTCCTCCAAAGAAAAGAATAGGCTCGCGTTGTAACCCTACTCTTGTTGGGTTACATTATTGTATCTAAGCACACACCACTCACATTCCCCTCTAGCAGTGTGTATATACAGCAACATGCAGCATACAACACACAGCGCTTACCTTGCCCTATAGCAGTGTGTATAATATACTGTATATTATACAGCACACAGCATACAGCACACACCTTCCCCTATAGCACTGTGTATACATACAGCAACATGCGGCAGCGACCTGTCACTCACCTTCACCGTGTTGTGGACGTCGGCCAGCATGAGTCGCCGCGCAGCCTCCAGTATCTCTTCACACTTCTTGTTCGCAAACAGCACGTTGACGTTGCGCGCGTACTCCAAGATGGCCGTGTCCGTGTCCGCCATGAAGCCGACCTCGACGAGGCTCGCCTGGAACGCCTCTGTCTCGGCAATGACCTCCGCGAACTGTTCAAGGTCGCGCGCCTGTGTCGGGATCGAGCGCGCGAGGCAGTCGCGGATGATCGCCTCGCACAAGTCGGTGAGCACGCACGCGCGCAGCTTCGTCATCAGCAGTGGCGCCCCCTCGCCGTCACTCGTGCGCACGTGCGTCAGATTCGCGTGCAGGAACTTGAACACGCGCAGCACACCGTCGAAGACCGCCTTCGGGCTCGCCGGCTCCGCCGCGTCCGCCGGCTCCACCTTGAGGGAGTTGCCGTCGGCCATCTGTTTGCACTTGACGACGCAGACGCGCGAGGTGAGCGGGAGAAGAACGTGCTGCAGCAGGCGGCGGCTGAACACCTGCACGCGCGCGTCCAGGTGACGCAGGTACTCCATCGCCTGCACGAGCGTCGCCAGCGTCGTGTGCTCCAGCGAGCTGACGGTCAGCGTCGTGCAGCAGTCTCGCCGGCCGCTCTTCTCCTCAGGAAGGCTCCACACCAGCACCTGCGCGCGGCGGAAATCCATTAGATTTCACCCGGGTTTTGCTGGAGGCTGCCCGAGCGTGTGAGCGGGATGCTGTGCTGTCGAACTACCATGATGCAATTAAAATTAGCGCCGATGCCAGGGATCAGTGATTGGTTTCACTGTCACGATTTTCTATGTAATATATTGTTTGTGATACTGGTACTACTATCGCTGCTGTTACCACAACCACTACCACTACAAGTACTATCAGTGTCACTATGACTACCACTACAAGTACTATACGAATATCACTATCACTACCATTACCACTACAGGTAATACCAGTGGAACCACAAGTAATACCACTATTCATATCCACTACCACTATCATTACCGATACCACTACAAGTATCTCCACTATCACTACCACCACCACTACGACTACAAGCACTACCACTATTACTACCATTACCATTACCATTTCAAGTGCCTCCATTACCACTATCTCTAACACTGCAATTACTACCTCTACTAATGACAACTGATGATGTCAAAACTCGGCTTACTTGATGTTTGTGCGTAGAGGTTGAGCGATAAACGTGTGGGATACACATACCTGGTTCCACATCTCACTGGTATCATAGATGAGGGCTTCACGCTGCAGTCTAAACTCTATCTGCAGTGCCTTCATCACCTTCACCTCTCCAACTCCCTTCACTGCCTTCTCTTGCAGTAGATGAGCAATCTGTATCGACACATATGAATATAAATCCCAAGATGTTGAATGAGAAATTTTGGGGAAAAACGTTTGAAAAATTTAACACCTTGCTAAAACGTATTAATTACCGACAAGAGCTAATTATAGAATTTATAACCTGCATAAGAACTACAATGCTTTTAAATGCCTATAGTGGCCATATCACGATGTTTGATAGCTTAGAAATCACAGAGGTTTCAATGCAAACACCCCATCCCCCACCAGGCTCCACCCGCGGCAGTGGTTGGTGGGGGATGTCACGTTAACAGTAGACCATCACAATGCAAAATGAAAGTGTCAATGACACTGTAGCTCACCTTGGGTGTGATAGAAGAGGGAGGGGGATATATAAAGCAAGAGTATATATGAGAGAACTCCCATTATATATAGCATATCTCCCATTATATACTCTTGATAATGATATATGCACAAGTTTTGATGCGAAAATAAATGTTTCAGATATGAAAGTGAAATCTTGATGAGAGATGGCGCTACGCCTAAATGATCGCCATTTTGGTTTTCGAATATCGCGCAAATAAAAACAATAAAATATTCCAGTCAAATTACTGTAACGAAGAATCTAAATCACAATATTACACGTATATAGGTACGATTGTTGAGTTGTTGACCAGTTAGAAGAAATAAACGTAATAGGACGTTGTCATCTCTCCCATAGGAGTAACAACTGTTTTGGGGGCTAGCCTTACACATTCACATACCAAAATTTAACAAAATCGAATAAATTTAGATAGCCATTTTCATTTTTGCCAAAATGTGGGGGTAGCTCGAAAGTAGGTCGACTGGCGTGCTCCAAAGTAGGAAGTTAAAATCTCTGCCATAGGAGTAACAACCGTATTCAATTTGAAACATGTGGGTCAAACGGTTCTTGAGTTATCGTTGACCATAGGCAGACACTGAAATGCATAGTGAAATTGCCAAAATCTACCTAATTTGCATAATTTTGAAAAAAATATCAAAACCCGTGTGATATGTTTTGGGGCCAGTCCTTATTCATTCACATACTAGAAATGAGCAAAATCAGTTGAACCTGAATTGACTTATGACCATTTCCATGTCGTATGGACGTTGAAACATCTCCCATAGGAGTAACAACTACGGGCATATGCAATTTGAAACATGTGGGTCAAACAGTTCTTGAGTTATCGGTGACCGTAGCCAAATGTTGACGGACGGACGGACGGACGGACGTACGACGGACGACACCCCATGGCAATAGCTCATATTGACGATGTCAAGGCGAGCTAAAAACATGGACGTCTAGTAAACACATTACTAAAAGTCCCTTTGTTATGATAGATTTCAGATGTTTCAACAGTTCAAAAGAATGCATGTGACTTGACAGATCATGTGCTTTCAAATAACACTCGACGGTCGTCTGACATCGGTCTTGCACCACTGCTGCGAGGAATTCAGTTCTATGGTTTCTACAGTCTCTGACAGAGTTCAGAATACGACTGTAGACTCTGTCTGCTATTTTCAATTTCTTACCTGGACTGAGACGTGGCAGAACTTACCATCGTCAGCAGTTGTTAACATGCTCGAATTACCATTAACGTGACAAACATTCGAACGCCAGCCTGCCAACACCGTCATTTCGAAAAGTAACTTTAGGCAGGTGTTACTGTGTTACACGCAAGAGATGTGAGGATGATCGCAGCTGTACCACGTTTGACTGCTTGGCGACCTTGAGGAAGTCTCCGTGCTGCTTGGCGGCGCTGCACGACTGTAGCAGCTCGTGGATGGCGACGACGCGACTGAGCACAGCGATTGTCGCATCGGCTTCGTGTAGCTGCTGCAGCAGATCCTGGAACTCAGCCGACGAGCTGCGAAGCTCCCTCTGTACCTGAACCAGAGAAGGAACGTCCGCGTTGTTTACTACACTGTAATATATGTGCGACAATACTTCTGACCTACTGGGTGGCAAATAGCGAGTGGACTCTTCGCAAAAACATTTCTCATACAAATATGATGGACTCCCTTAATATCATGACCAGTCTCCAGAGTCTTGATCTATCTTGGCATTGGCACATTCATGCACTATGATTACCTTGCAAGTTGTGGGATTCGATTTTCACAACATTGCATCACGAATGGTTCACATGAATAATTAATATAATTCGATTCGACGAATAGCAGCTGTCGACATTAAAGGTAAATACTTTACATCTACCTCATTCTGGATCTTGCTTGACAACGACTTCATATTAGTATTGACGGTGTTTACTTGAACCGCGAGGTCAAGGGTTGCATTCAGACAGGGAAGAAACTCTCCATACCGCTTATGCAGGTTGTCATATACTTCAGCTTTTACCTGGAACATTGTTGCATATTGAATGAAATAAAGTGATAGCGTAATAATAATCTAGATATAAACTATCTTGATTTGATCATGGTTATGATTTGATTAGGATTAATATTATAATTCAAAACAATTTATGTGCGGAATTAAATGCCATCACTGTCACAATACAATGAATACATGACAAACAACAATCTATCATTTAGCTTTATTGAGCATGAGCTGATTATATACCTGGTCAATATGTTCAGACAGACTCTGTAGCTGAGAGTTAAGATCTTCTTTCTCAAGCTTTCCTGCAATACATATATTTACAAGGTGTGAGTGGCTGCAGTAATTTGAATGTTATCTATTTATATAACAATTACATATATATGATATAATAAACATTGACAATGCTACGTCAAAATTACAGATATATACAGCATATATAAGACTTTTTATACATTGCAATTCTGTGATGCCGCCAAGTATGAGATATCTGACATCAGTACATCTATATTTTACGCCAATTTACTATTGGTATTACTAAAGCTACCCATTACAGAAATACATGAACTATCCATGAAATACTTGTGTACAATATGTTGCTGTAAACCTGTACCCATAATTAGTATATTACTATTCAAACCACACCTGCTGTTGCAAGGACCTCGGTTACGAATGAAGGTGCTGCCATTTCCGGCTAGAGTATGAAGATAAGCAATGGTCTAATCACAAATAATGGTTGCATGGACGGTTCCAAAAACCTAGAGAGAATGACGATAAATCAAGCAAAGCTCAAATAACAAGGTAATATTTAGTAATAAGACCAACAGCAAGGTTAGAAATTAACTTTTAAACAACGGACTCCCTTCCCTCAAAAAGAGAGAGTTCACAGCAAAATGAGGGAGTCCACAGTCACTAAAGATATTAACAATACAGTCCTCGCCAAAAGACAAAATCCTTTACTGGACATTCGGTCCAGTAAAAATTAGATTTTTACCAGACCGAATGATATGTTACTGGACCAAAAAAATATTGAAACATTAAAACACATTCACATCTCTGTTGCTTTTCCTTTGTGGACATATCTAACATATATGCTTTCCTGCTCATCACCAGCTATGTCTGTTGACCCGTCCATGATAAAGCTGAAAAAGCTAGCATCGTTTATTTTTTCATCCATTTCGTGACGCGTACAATCAGCAATGCATTCGATAATGCCAGCTTTGTCATTAATGTAGGTTTCACCTATTTCTAGGTCTTTGGCCTTGTCCAGTTGTGTGATCCAGGTATAATCAGTGATAGTAATATAAACTTCCCATGATAGTTCACACACACGTCGCATGTCATCATTTTCTTATCTTTTATCATATAACAGCCAATCTCTTCCTATCGCTTTCCCACACCATAGATTAATTTGGTACACGCGTATATAAGATAGCCATAGGCAGGGATATTAGGGTTAGGCATAGTGTGTGGTACTGACGTACCCGTAGCCTCTGCGTAATTAGTTGATGTAATGTTTCCTGACACACGGTCTGGTAAAGCCAAATTTCTGGTAAAGCCAAATTTCTTGTCGGACCCGTGCAAAAATCACCGGTTTTGTCCGACGGTCCGACGCTTTTGGCGAGGACTGACAATAATGCATGTGCTTATTTTGAAGATTCATGCGGTTGCCCGTTTGCCAAAATGTCTTTGGACATTTGCTGAAAAAATACGGCAATTCCACGAGGCCGTGCTCTGCAACGAACTAGTTAGTATAGCCGAATTTTCAGGGAGTCACACGGACTCCTGCATATGTCAAATCAGGGAGTCCGACAGAAAATCAGGGAGTATTTGACTCCGAACTCGCATTAATTTCGCACCATGCAACAGTAAGGAAATACGTTATGAACATTAATATGCTTCGATGTAGTTGTACTCATATTAACCAGGTTTAATATATCAACTATGTAGTATTATTGTTAATTTCAGAAACTGAAAACATGTATTTCTGCTGTACTTGTTTTTACATGACTGTTCCTAACAGCCTCTTAGTGTGTCACTGGAATAAAGCTAAAATACAGACTGGAGATGTTATTCAGTGGTATGGGTTAGTAGATGGTAGCCATACTCCTCGACAGTACCATGAAAATGTCTTAGTCTGAACGGGCAAAGACTTTATCAGTGTTGTTCCGGCAACTATAGAATTTCAGAATTTTTGGAAAAAAACAATAATATAAGTGTCATGCTGGACAAAATTTACTCAGGTTCACTGATTCCAAAACTAGCCCGTATCGTGTATCCTGCAGCAATGTTTTGACAGCTTCGCACAGTAACATACACAACTCTGGTTTGACCCTATAGTTATGACTGTTAATAAGTTAAATGGTACAAATCTTGTTAAAAGGGTTACATATATATATGTATCAAATTACTCAAAACTGTAGAAACGTTGCATATTTAACTTATCAAAATTAGAGATATATTGCAGATGTAACCAACCTTTGGTACATAAATGAAAGTGTCAATGACACTGTAGCTCACCTTGGGTGTGATAGAAGAGAGAGGGGGATATATATATAAAGCAAGAGTATATATGGGAGAACTCCCATTATATAGCATATCTCCCATTATATACTTTTGATAATGATATATGCATGTTTTGATGCGAAAATAAATGTTTCAGATCTGAAAGTCTGAAATCTTGACGAGAGATGGTGCTACACCTAAATGATGGCCATTTTGGTTTTCGAATATCGCGCAAATAAAATAAAAAAATATTCCAGTCAAATTACTGTAATGAAGAATCTAAAACACAATATTACACGTATACAGCGGAAAAAATACACGGGAGCGGCGAGCGATTTCGCTCCCGTCAGCTTTCAAAGCGCTCTGGTAACAACAATTACGAGAGCGAAAATTTTGGAAGATACGAGAAAAAATCGCTCCCGTGCCGCCGGCAGCGTTCGAACCGGAGGCCCGAGCCCACCAAGTTTTTGCTCGGGCCACCATCTCTACGAAACTCCCGGTCCTCCTGACCGGCACTTTTTCCCCTCATATTACGATGAAATACTACGGTTAGCGCAACGGCAGTTTAAACAGACTTGTAAACGGGAGCGAATAATACGACCCGTTCCTCAACGTAGACGGGGTATCCAAAACATCTAGAGCTGCATGAACTCCCTCAACGCATGATTCGCCACACAAACAAAAGCTCGCGACAGTCTAAGAAATCGATTGCGGGCATCTAGACAGTAGTGCAGCCCAGTGTTTTTATGACCGCATAACAATAAGTTTTTATATCGCAAGAGCTAAATGAAAGTGTCAATCATACTGTAGCTCACCACAAAAAAATGACACAAATGAGTGAGTGAGAAGAAGTCAGTTTTAATTGAGCAACCATCGACGTACCTTATAGAAACGAAGAGTATATATGGAAAACTCCCATTATTATGATTATATACTCTTGATAATTACATGTGTAATTTTTTTATGTGAAAATAAATGTTTGAGATGTGAAAGTCTGAGATGTGGGCGAGTGATGGCGTTACACCTAAATGATCGCATTTAACGTTTTAATATTCAGATTTAGGCATAGTCGAGATTCCTCTGACCAATGCCCACACGACGATTTTGGTGGTTTGGTGTGGGTTAGGTCAGAGCAACTTGCCCATGCAAAACGTGGATTTCTCCGATCCCGCCGGGATCGCTGTTTCATTGCTCCAAACTCACAATTGGGCTATCAATCAAGATCTGATGCACATATATCGAAAACTGGATAACTTATATGCTTGCTCGCGTGGTAAGTACACTTGTACTCTTTTACCTTAGTCGTATTTTCGATTTGAAAATTTGTTGCTAACAATTCCCGCGACATGCATCGGCCATCCATCGTGCATCCAACTGCATTGTGGGAAACAACAGAGTAGCGTATTTGGTAGCGTGGTTTCCCACAATGCAGTTGGATGCACGATGGATGGCCGATGCATGTCGGAGGGAAATTGTTAGCAACAAATTTTCAAATCGAAATACGACTAAGGTAAAAGAGACAAGTGTACTTACCAACGCGAGCAAGCATATAAGTTATCCAGTTTTCGATTATGTGCATCAGATCTTGATTGATAGCCCCAATTGTGAGTTTGGAGCAATGAAACAGCGATCCTCGTGGATCGGAGAAATTCCCCGTTTTGCATAGGCAAGTTGCTCTGACCTAACCCTCACCAAAACCACCAAAATCGTCGGTGTGGGCATTGGTCAGAGGAATCTCGGACTAATTTAGGCACTGCCTTAAAGTAAAAGTAAAAACGGAGCTCCCGATGTGTAACGTGTAAGATTGAGAGGATATAGTCCGAGCCGACGCAGACCCCAGTAATGGGGTCTGCGGCGGCGTCTATCTCAATCACGAAAGCCACCTCCAGTTTGGAGGTGGCACTTATGAGTAATATATAGCGCCCGATATATACATTCCTATTGCGTGAACTTACTTTAATCTGAACTTTAATCATTTATCTACGTGCATGCACGCTATGATGTCCTGGTAGCGGCCACAACATAAGAATATATCAAGTTGTTAACCTAATGGTAAATTAAAACATCCAAAGAAAATGTTCTGTCTTCATTCACATTTGTCACCGAATGAAAATCACTTCCGGTTACTTCGGCTATTCCCGATGTTCAACAGGAAACATCGTAGGTATAGTCTGCGCCATCTATTATTTTTTCGAATTATTATTTCCGAGTGAACCCGAGGCTACCGGAAGTGAATTTCATTGGTCGATCGAAAAATCTGTCCAATACGGCCAAAAATATCGAAGTTACTCTGACTAGGATGAATTATTGAATGAAAACAAAGTTCTGAAACGGAGATAAAGTCTTCGGAATGCGATATTGACAAACAGAAGGTCTGTACTTGATATTTTGGGTCGGATATACCCCCGTCACGCCCTCAGTGCTACTCGATTCACCTATCAATACCCACAACAAAAATTGCAACAATTTTTTAAGCAAGGGTGACTGCAGACGATAAACCCGCACCCTCAATTG